CTGCCGCTGAGGACATGGTGCTAGCGTAGAAAGCCGCGGACAACGGTGACGAGACTTGTCTCACGGTCTCCGGATCCTCTTGAGGGCTGAGCAGGGGGAAGCTGCCCGTGAGAAGACCCTCCTGACTCGCTGGCGGCGTTGGATATGTGAAACTCGGGCTGTCGTGTCTCGTCAAAGGCGATGGCAGAGGAGACTGAGTGGGTAACGTGTGCGGGCTCTCGGTGTATTGGGCACCGTACGTGCTGAACTCGGCTAACGAGTCTGGCAACGGGGAGTTCACCAACGCCTGCAGGTCTGGGTTCACTGTGTGCTGCGATGGATATCGGTCCTCCAGAGTGATGTCTTGCAATTGCTCCGCGGGCTGTTCTTGTAACAGGCTTGCTGTCTGAAACTGGACGGTTCGATATTCGTTTATTTATTTATTTATTTATTTGTGATTCTTATCATTGTTTTATATATATTGAATATACAAAGAGATGAGCATAAAGTTTCATGTTATATAAATTAATTTGAATTTATGTCGAATTATGATAAATATTAAAAAAGTATTAGAAAGTAATTTATCATAAAATATTATAAGATTCTTTCTAGAAGATTCAATGATTATCAATTTAAGGGTTAAATGTTTTTAAATTTTATTATATTTGTTGCAAATTTTGTTTTCCATTAATTTGATTTAATTGATTGTTAAGAAATGACACTTTAAGAGACACTTCTGTCTGTTTTCGATTTTAATTAAGAATTAATTTGATCCATGCATAAAAATTTACATTCGAAAAATAATATTAGCCATCAGTATTCCGTTGTATTTCGAGTTTCGTCGGCAATATCGAGACTCATTCGATTAATTCTCGTCAAAAATTGAATTCATTCATGAGATCAGGGTGGAATAAAGGCGTTCCAATGGAACGCCAATGGGTGCAACCATTAAGCTGGAATCTCTGGTATTCGTAGGTCAGACGTTATCGAGACTTCTCGAGGGGTGAAAAGAGGGAAGGATGAGGTATCCGGTTGATAGGTGGAGAACATACAGGCGGATATGACGCTTTTCAAACGGTACAAAGCGTCGTAGTGCGATTGGCGCTAACTACTTAGATAATTCGCCTTATTAAATTCTACAGTGTAGAAAGAGAAACGGCCCCCTGCTCTCCTCAACATAATTGAAACTAAAGCGTTTTCGACAGTTGACACGGAACGAAGAACAGGACTAATTAGCTCGTCAAAGGACTCTGGATATATCCTGTCTTGGCACAAGCAACGCTCGTATCTGTTCATGCTTGGTTACCTTTAGAAATCACGTCACGTTTCATCTTTTTTAGTGGATGAGGCGAAAAAGTGTGAAGAAGAATGGGGGAAGAAAGATAAGTGTTTCGTTAATGTAATTTTTTAAAAAGTGGATTTCTAATTTATATAAATGTATAATTTTATAAAAGTTGTAAATTTTTATTGATCAATTTGCAATTTAATATACAAATATAACATATAAATGTATATAAAAGCTTAGAAATTTTTTTAATTTAATTATTTTTATCATTATATGATGATTTTTGAATTTTTAAATTAAATAATTTATTTGAATTAATAAATATAATTTTGAATTTTTATCTAATGATAGCTTTCTGAATAATTCGAGTAATTTATAAGTTATTATTGAGTATAATTTAGTCTTTGATAATAATATCTTGAACAATTCACTATTTTGAGTTATTATTATAAATACTTTACTATAAATTTCTTTGTAGTTGATTCATAATACACTTTTATTCAAGATTAATAAAAATGAATGAAAATTACTCACTTGAAGTGAATCCAATTGAGTAGCATGAAGAAGAACGCTGTCGGGAACTGCGGTGACTTGTTGAAACACCTCATCTTGAAGGCTTGGGCTAAAATAACCACCGTCTTCAGAGTAACCTGTCATTGAAAAACTTTCAGTAACCGTGGGCTGAGGTTGAGCCTGATTATTTTGCTGTTGTTGCTGCTGCTGCTGCTGCTGTTGTTGTTGCTGTTGCTGCTGTTGCTGTTGCTGCTGACTAGTCGTCGATTGAACCGATGTCTGATAAGTCAGATGCAATCTTTGCCCCGGGTCGGAAGTTGTTCTTTTCACAGCCATTTTAGTGGTTCCCTTTAATAGAAATGTAGAAATTTAATTTTTTGTTTTTATATCCAAAATATATGCATGTATCATTAAACAAATAATGATAACCAATTGAATTGAATTATAATTTTTACCGTTTAAAAACGTATTTTTAAAAAACAACTAAGAAAAAAAATTTTAAAAGGAAAAAGTATAATTTTATCGTCAAATTCCATATTTACGAGATAAAATATGAGAAAAAAAATTGAATAGAAAATTAAATTAATTAATCTTAAGAGAAACCACCTTCAAGATCATGTCGGCCAGCGCCTGCGCCTGAGCCTGGGTCTGCGCTTCCTGTAACTGTTTTTGCACGGTCGTGTGGCCGGAAACGGTGACATTGGGCTGCCGGAAGTGCTCGCCATCCGAAAGTCTGCGGACCTTTTCCGCGGAGGCCAATGGAGGCGGTGCTGGTACCGCGAAACTCGTTTTACCGGAAATTTGCGACGCATTGTCGGCTTGGGTGGTAAAAACTGTTGCGTTTGTGCGTGCCTGTTGATTTGAATTTGTGTCCGCTGCTAAAACGAGGCAAAACATTTCTATAAAATAATTGACAAGTCTTTTTATATACAACGTAATAATTTCTGTTTTATAATGTAAGAAATTTGTTATAAATTGCTATAATATAATATTTATAAATATCATTTTTGTTGTATTTGTAGAATTATTTTAATATTTTCTTAATATTCACATGTATTTTTATTTTCTATTTGTATCTATGTATTTTTTCATGTTTTCTAAATAATAATAATAAATAATAATAAGTACGACATATCTTTTATATTTTTATTTATTTTGAAATATGATATATTTTCGAAAAATATATTTTTTAGAATAGATTTATAAGGATTTATAAAAATGATTCACAAAAAGAAATATGTGCCAAAATTATATATCTTCATTGCAGAAAGTTCTTCATTTAATTTATTTATATTTTTATAAATATTATTTTTTATAATTCATAACACAAAACAATATTTTAAATATATCTCAAATATAATAAAGTGAAAAGAAAAAATACGATAATTACGAAATTGAATGAGAAATAATATTTCAAATGATTTACAAAATAATGATTCAATAAATTATTCACAAAAAAATATCATAAAATTACGTTCTTTTTTCAAAAATGCTCCTCATTTAATTTATTTAAACATTTTTATAAATATTACTTTTTTTATAACGTAGTGATATTAAACATGGAAATTTAATATCATTTTTTCTCCCTATTTTCTATCATAATTCGAAATTCTCTGCAACTTCTCTGTAACTGATTTGAAATGTAACTTAATAGGTATGATTATTAATTAAACTTAACGAAATGTGTGGGTGGTAATATCGAATTTCCTAACATTTCTTCGTGTTATACAAATATATTTAGCACTCCAATCAAGTTTCTCCTGTATTTCGCTTTTTCCCCCTGCAATTAATTTAAATTTCCAATATTATTGGGATTCGAAGTTAGATAATTTTCGAGATAATTATAACAATTTGCACTGTCGATCTATCAAGAATTGAAATTGCTCTAACCATTTCCATATGTATTTTATTCCAAATCAATACAAGAGAAGTCTTAATCAAATTTGAATTAAAATACCTAAAATCGAAATATAAATATTAATTTTGCATGCAGTTAATGCAATAAGATTGAACTATCCATCTTTCCTCGTCTTGTCTTATTAAACAACATTTTCATTTCGAATTTTTCTATTTACTTTTATCATGGTAGTTTAATTTCCTGGAGAGAATGGCGTGTCTGTTTGCGTATAACTTGCGTGAATTTTCGTCGATAAAACGTGGAATCACGGCGCATGCTTCTCGAAATGAAACTGCATTGAATGAACATATTTTATGAATTAATTGAAATTGGATTCTGCGCACAGATCTTTGAGAATTTTATCGATATCGACTTGTTTTGGATTAAATATAGATATCTTTGCATTAAAGATATTAATATTGATCATTAATTTGTCAATATTTACTTTTGTTTTCAATATGTAACACTGTTACATTCATATGAAATATTATATTTCTATTATAAGATGTATGCTAAAATTATTTTAAAAAATAATATCTCGATCAATTCTTTTTTGTCAGAATAATATCGATATTTGAAAAAAGATTTTAATTTTTTTTTTAAAAATAAAAATATTATTCAATAATTTCTTTTTATAATTTCCAAAAAACTGTTAACAGTAAGAAAGTAAAATATATCAGACAAGAGAATGAATATGAATATGAAATATAATAAATTTATATAAAAAGATATAATAAAACAATAATTTAGTAACAAAATTTAACAAATAAGATGCGTTAAAATCAATTTTTTAAATTAATCAAAATATACTATAGAATATATCCTAAATAACATATAATAAAATGTTATTCGTAAGTAGAACATATCTATAATATACCTGATCGAATAAAAGAGAACCAATTGTACAAAAGTCAAGACTACAAAGGCAATAATTTTATATAAATAACAGCTTAACGAAATATAACTTCATCAAAGTTGTGCACGATTTTCTACTTCTTTGTCGGATCCTTTTTGCGCGACTAATTGAAGAAAAGAGACGAAGGACGAGGAGAAAAAGGAAAACGAGGAGAGGAGATCAATGAATGCAGCCTTTCTGGCTCGTCTCGAGCGTACACATTCTCTCCTATTATGACGTTAATATGAATTAATCGTAATACCGGTTAAGCGAACGTACTTTGTCGAAGCATTTCAGTTTATGGGGAATAAATTATGAGGGCTACGATCTTCTTGAACCATTTGTGCGTTCCTTAATACATCTTTTCACGATCGTACAAGCTGGAAACGAAATAATCTTTCCTCGAGGAAAACAAGTTTTATTTTATTAAGATCTCTGATAAATGTCACGGTCCACGTAATTATTTGAGATTTAAAAAAATATTTTTCAAAGAATGGAATATATCTTTAAAAATGAAATAGCATATTTATAATAGAAAAAAAAATCAATGATAAATATGATAAATATTCGAACCAGAAATGATCGTTCTACTTTTTTCAGTTGTTTCAATTTTCATTTTTCATTCATTTCGAGTTCAACGAAACGAGAATAACAATGTTTCCCTCGTTTTTTCTTTTTCAATTTAAAGTATTCGATATTTATCGATAATTTTGATGTGAATGATTAAAACTATATAAATATTGAAATTATTCGCGAACAATATCTAAATTCCGATAAAATAAATTCCAATAAATCGTTGGCAAACGAAAACAGCAAACTTTTTTGCTTTTTCGTAAATAATATCATATATCGATATTATGTCCAAAAATTTTCAAAACTCGTATAACAACTAGGAAATAAAGTATCCTCAAAAGACCAAACACCTTCGGACTGAAGACAGGAAATAATACTATTTAAAAAAAAAAAAAGAACTATTTAAAAAAAAAAAAAAGAAAAAAAGGAGAATTTCATCGAAACGTTGCCGGTGCTACGCGCGACAAATTGCATCGAGTTCGATCGTCCGCCGGTCGCTACAATTTCCATTTCCGTCGTTCGAACAAAAGCGTTTACAACGATTTCAATTTGCCCGTAGGGAAGAGGCGATAGTCAAAGACGGATATTAATTTCTTTCGGTTGATTTATTAGCGGCGTGGATCGTAGTCGACAATGAGGAGAAATGAATTGGGGTGTGGGCGGTGTATGGCGTGTTACGCGTGCGTTAAAAAGGGAGAGGAGATGGAGCTCACGGGCACGAAGCCAGTACGTGGGGTCGAGATATTCATGGAAAACTTTCCTGCCGCGATACACGACTGCACGCTCTCCACGGATCCCATTTCCTTCAAGCGGCCTCGGCCAGGATACGCGCGCATTTATATCTGTCGGGTTTCGTTGCTGTCGTAAACGACGTTTCCCGCCTCGAAATGTATTTTTCAACAA